CATCATCCCGCAATGAGGCTGTCGTCTCTTCGGCAGGCTGCAAAAAAACCTAGCAGCACCACAAGTTGTTGCAGCTCCTGCTCTCTGCAGGTGCAGCTGGCACGCTTATGTCCCCGACTGGACATGGACGCGCGACTCAGGCAAGCGCTGCTTGAAGCGAGCTGTCTGCCATCAACCACTGAAGTTCAGACCATCGGGAGGGAGGGAGGAAGGAAGGAAGGAGGCACTGAAGCAACATGTGCTGTAGCACAAGCTCGCGCACAGGTTTCTACGAACAGTTACACTGGCAACGCGTTCCATGAAGGCCATACATGGTGAGGAGTCGTGGAACCTAGGTGTCTGCGATGCCAGTCAGGCCACAAGTGATGTCTCCACGCCGGCACGTGGCTGAGTTCGGACTTGTGACCACAGAAGCATAGGCTTGCAACTCCAAGTGTCACAAGATCTCGCCAAGCTGCAAGAAGGACAGTGACACAGCAAGTGCGACAAGTACCGACCGGCTCCCCGTAGCCTCGACAAGTGGGGAGCATCCGGGTTGGCCGAGGTTGTCTTGCCACTTGGCCTCTTCACTTTCTGGCAGGCAAATGGCAGCACCACAGGTATCAAGCATGAAGCAGAAAGCCCGGTGCCGAAGCGAAGAACTTTCTGGTTTTCGCCTGCTGCAGCCCTTAGCTCACGCTTGAATGGTTGCAGTCCCACCTGCAAACAGCATTCCGGATCAAGCCCTTAGCATCTAGAGGAACTGCCACACCGGACGTAGAACTTCGGAATATCCAATGCCCCCCTGCCCCCCCCCCCCCCACCCCCCACTTGCCCGATCCAACGACCCAGATTGCCGCCATGCACTGCTGTGTGATAGAGATGGTGGTGTGGTAAGTTCCCGCTGGTGAGTGGAACATGGTATCCGATGCACGATCCAGGCCTGGGTTGTCGGTCCTGCCTCTACAGTACCATCAGTACCCAAGTCCGAAGCCAAAAACCCCAGAACAAAGAAGACAGGCACCAGCGGCGGGAGGGTGCTCGTTCCCGGAAGCCCAGACAAGCGGACGCCAACGCGGCACCCCAAGTGCTTTCCAGATCGGTTTTAAAAATCCTAGCCTAGCCCTTGAAAAAGAAGTTGAGGGTCCTTATAGATGGGGTGGCTCACGGGTTGCTCTCACTAGGAATTCGATTGGGAGCTTCACTGCAGGCACAAGCTTGTCTTCCTGCCGGCCCCGCAAGGGGTGTGACCCCGCTCACCGGCACAGAACGGCCGCTCCATTGTTTGTGTCGAAGTAGCTTCGGGTAGACAGGCACACGGGACACGAAGCAGCAATAGACGGCCTTTAGCCCTGCTGAATGCTGTTAGATGCCACACAAGCAGATTGAGACTACGTAGCTTCCAGAACCTTCTAGACGGGAGATCATTGACTCGCAGGTACAAGCAGAAGCAACCTTGCAGACGTACACTCAAGAGCTGGAAGAATTTCATCCACGAGTTAGCAGAATTGCGGCCATGGTCGCCATGGCAGCTGGGTCTCGCCTGATTTGTATGAACAATGTGCCCATGGAAATCGAGCTCACAAAGGAGTGGCGTGTTGAGCCCTTGCCCTCGCTTTGTCAGATGCCAGAGTCATGTCCGTTTGCAGGAGCCTTTGCGAGTTGGACGTGCTGTGCAGCCTTTCACCATTTGGCAGCAACTCATCCCAGATGAAGCAACAAGGAACACAATCTCGCGCAACCACTTCGAGGCCAGCTCATGATTCTTGACTCCCAGCCGAGACGTTGTTGTCCCTCACACTAGACGATAGGACAGCTATGCGACATGGGCCCTGCACACATGCCACCGATCACTACTATTATGTGATACGGTATGGACAATGCTGGGCCAATACTTGTTTTCTTGAGTTGATGCACTATACTTTAGGGGTTAGAGTTGAATGTAGAGCAGCCGTGCCCGGGGGCCGTGGAAGGTGGTGCGTAGCACGGCCAGCGTCTACTTGCTCCGCAACCTGAGCGCGCAGGGGACGCTTCTGAATGGGTTGAGGGTCGACCGGGAGGTGATCCTGAAGGATGGAGACGTCATCAGCATGGGACAGGTGGGCTCCGAGTATGGCAGCAGGCCAGCCTTGCAGTTCAAGGTGCACCTAGCAGAGGAGGACCTCGCAGATGAGGACCTGGCAGGTGAGGACCTCGCAGGTGAGGACCTGATCACCAGAGCTCCAGTTTCCCTATGCCTTTGGTGGCTCCTTCCAGGCCCCCCGGTTTGGGAGTAGTGTGCTTGCCGAAGCCTACTTTATCTTCCCATTAGGAAAAGCATCGGAGTCATTTGAGCCATGTCATCTTGCAGTCGAATGATACTCGTAGCTCGTTTCTTAAGCTATACTTGTACTTGAGGTGCTAACGGCGCAGGACCCACGGTGCTTAACAAGCAGCTGTTGGCTGGGCCAACGGGTGGCATACGCGTGGGCAGAGCCATGCAGCCTCAGGAATTTTGGCAGACTCTGGTTCCTGACGAATCGTTACGGAATGCGATCTCTAGGGAACACTTCGATGTGTGTCCTACGGACGAAGGAGTCACGCTCATCAACCGCAGCGTAGCCGGGACACTGCTCAACGGCGTGCTCATACAACAGCAGAGCCGTGTGAACAACGGTGACGTCTTGGGCATCCCCTTGCACGGCCAGCCAAGAGCCCCCCCAATCGTCCAGTTCCGCTTGGAGTGCGCACCATGTGCTGCCGATAAAGAAGTGATAAGAAAAGCAGGCGACGGAATGGATGGGGCACCCAAGTCTCCCAAATGTGCGCCCAGGTTGCTCGGCGCCATTGGGAAGGGGCCCGCGGGGCAGGAGAGCGGATTGTCACCCCCTAAAGAGAAGGAAGCCGCAGACGTTGTCAAGATTGCCGTAGACGCGCTCCCTCCGCCATTCTCCCTGGAATGTGTGGCTGCAAGAGGCTTTGAAGGGAGAGACATGGAGCAGCTACCCATGGAATCCCGTGTTTTAGCGGCAAGCTTCTCGCAGGCGGAGATCTCCGTGGGGTCTTCGTATCAATCTGGAGATTTCTGGGAGCCCTTGCTGCGGGATCCAGCACTCCGGGCCAAGATTCTCCCTCTGCACTTCCGACTGGAGATGGCTCACCTCAGCGATGGGCCTATGCTGGTACTCGATGCACACGCTGCAACCGAGCTCAATGGCAAAACCGTCGAAGGCAAGGCGCCAGTTTTGCAAAATGACTTGATTAGCATCGGCAGCATGGATGGCTTCACAGACAATGCCCCTTTGGTGTGCTTCCGTGTCTTTGGCCGCATTTGCCGGTTTCTACTGTGCATTGTACATGGTTACTGCTGACCGCTGCACCTTGGAGCTTTATTTTTATATGGCTTTACGTATCAAGCCGAGGCGTGAATTCGGCATTGAGCTAATGCAGGCTCCCTTTGAAGGGGGATACCCTCTGTGAAGCTTCACCTGACAACTTAGCTGGCAGCGTCTGCGGTGTGCAATCGTCACTTCAACGTGCCTAAGCATCCAGAGCTCTGCTTGCTTAGACTTGCACACCGTCGGACTGCACAGCTGCAGATGGCCGGCCGGCTCTAAGGCAAGAAGCCAGAGCTCATGAAAAACACCCACGTGTATACCAAAGTGTACTAAGCCATGTGTCCCGCAGCACCATTCTTGTTCGACCATCTGCTTCGGATAATGCCAGACTTTGACATACCCTCGGCAAAACAGCATCGAGCGGTTGTTCTGAATATACCACTAGGCAATTGGCTTTCAGCCCACCAGTCAGTGTACAGATCATGACAGCTCTTGCACCTTAGAGGCCGCAGTGAACCAGAGACACATGCTCAAGAGATGGTGCGCTTTGTTGCCCTTGAAATTGGCTTCTTCGCACTGGAGTAGGGGACGTGATCTCCGACTGCTCCTAAACCCTAAACCCCTAAGCCCCTAAACCGCCAAAACCCCTAAACCCTAAACCCTAAACCCTTCTGTGACCGAGGCTGGAGGTTCGCTTCGTACACGCGTGGTTGTTTGTGGCTCGCTGTTGCTGGTTGGGGGGGCGCTGCTGCTGTCCGAGGACCGGGCCCCAAGTGGGCAGAAGTCTTGCGGTTTACGGTGCAGGGTGTAGGGTTAGGGTCCAGAATTTAGGGTTTAGGGTTCAGGGTTCAGGGTTTAGGGTTTACTGTCTCCTCTCAGACTCTCCTTGTGTGCCCGGGGTCGAAGAGTCAAATATGGGTGCATGTGAAGGGGGGGGACCCCCTTTTTCTGCTTGATTCGGTGCGGTCGTGCAGCATACCACCTTTTTCAAAGGGGCCTCTTACCTAGCCTGCTCTCATGCTCTCACGCTTCTCGGTTCTCGCCCACAACTTTGAGAAGGTATCAATGGGAGCGCGGTCAAAAACTTGGGCCGGTGCACCGACCTCAGAGACTCAGCGATCATACCGGAAACATCCACAATATGTTGCTGGTTTGTGGCTGGTAGAAGGTGGTGGGTCACCATGATACGGGAGAGTCCCCGGTTTTCGAACAAGTGCCTTTGAAGCGCTCGAATTTGTCGGGGCATCTGCCTCTGAATGAGGGGACCTTCCCTTGAAGAGCAGAAGTTCCAGGATTTCCACAATGCAACGCCCACAAGAATCATAGAAGAATGCCTGACAAAAAATGCAGGGCATCCGCCTCCTCTTGCAAGAGTGGGCATGCGCCTCAAGCGCCTTTTTTTTTTATACAGAAAATGCGTGTTCTACGGTAGGGGTAGGGCCCCTTTCCAGGTTTTATCAAAAGAAACCCGACAAAACAGTGCCTGCAAGGAGCCAACTCATTGAAAGCAGACAAGCCTGCAAACACTGAACAAGGTGCAAAAACCTTAGCATGCAAGTCGGCGTCAATCCTTGGATCTGCTGAGTGAAGATTCTAATTGGGGTTCTACTAAGGCACCCCCTCCCCCCCCCTCCCCCAACAACAGAAATCAAAGTCGGGAAAGGTACTTGTTGGCAGGCATTGCTCTCGCCGCCGTGGAAGAGCTGTCGAGTTTGGCACTTTCCGATGGGTGGGTGGGGGGGGGGGGGGGGGGGGGATTGGCTGCGTACTTTGTCTTGCGCGCAGTCGGAAGCGTCGGTATTTACATGTATTTACAGCGTTTTTGTTGCTGTTTGGCCTGGTTTTTGAAGACGAAGAACAATTTCAAGAATGCAAAAAGCGTCATGCCTGTGAGGTTCATGCAAGAGCACTGAAGAAAAAAAGTAAGGGACCACTGTCATTTTACAGGTAAATATAGAGGTTGCACCCATAGCAAAGGTAATTTTGATATTGTTTTAGATACTTTAAAATTCCGTTTTCTTCCATAATCTAAAAACGATGATGCTCACTTAATTATATCTAACCGTGATAAGTTAAATCACCTGCTAATGTAATTTCATCTCTTTCTTCGTTCATTTTATCACAAAATGCATGCATACAATCCCCATCTTTGTATAAGTATGGTTTAACTTCATCTGTAATTGAATTAATAATTGAATTAACAACATGTAACAGAAGACCCGATGTTTTATGATTTTGGTATGCTCCCTTGAACCATCCTTCATTTGATCAGGTTGTTGAGCATTCAACATCACCATACATGACGTACGGGCATCTCAACTTTGTATAATCGGTTTTGAAGAACGATTTTCATTATTGATCATTATTCTCAGGCATCTTTCTTTTTTGAACCTCATTTGCCATGCAATTTGTACTAAGATGATTATGTAACAAAGGTTTTTCGCAAACGCTTTTGACAAGAATGAAAAAAGTATATTTGCTGTTTATTAGTTTGTCCTCCGAAAAGTCTAGAATGGCTTCCCTCTTCATCATCAAGACGAAGAAGGTTAACGTGACCAAAAGGTTGAGTTATTTTTGTTACTCTATCTACGCTTCTTGGTTTAAATTTTCTACTGTATAAACATATTTGATTCATTTCTTTGTTCAAAATATTCAATATCTTCAAAAGAAGCAGGAAAATTAACACCTTCCCATCTAATTCAACTACCATTTTCAACGGGCTTGTATTTACAGAATCTCACTTGTTGGCAACATCGTCGATTTATCGACTTTCTGTGTGTATGACGGAAAAAGCTGTCTTACGCGCTTTCACTTCTGTTCTGGGGGAGAGGGCTTCCAGAACCCTCGGGTTGTGCGACATTGCCGGCACTTTTCCATGCTATTTTTTGATCACGCCGAGAAACGTTTTTGTGTGCCTTGTCGCATTTTCTGTTGGGAAGGCGGGGCGAGCTGCTTCAGAAGCCTCGGTATTTACAGCAGAACTTTAGCACCAGTCGCGCGAATGTCACGTGACAATCTCACATGTCGTAATTGGGGAGGATGAACTGGTTGTTTCTGAGGTCATCCTGGAGCGGACATCGAGGTTTTATGGCTCCTTAGCTGGAGAGCCTAGGATTTAGCACCCTTGGTTTTGCTCCTTCGCTTTGTTTGGTTCTGGCCTCCTCTCCTTATGAAGCCCTACCAGAAGTCTTACAGTACCAGGCAAAAGAGCATTTCCGAAGCCTTGCTGGCCGAGTTGCCTGAGACCTTGCCTGCTGTGCGTGCAAAGTGAGAGTCGATACCCAAAACCCTTCCAAACCTTAAAAGGGAGGCAACTCAATCATTTTCGCCTTTAACTAGACAACATTATAACCTGTTAGATATTCAGAATCTCGATCTAAAAAGGTGGCTTTGGGGCGCTTTGCAGACTGAAGGCCGCCAGATCTCCTCGTACCTTCAGACTCCTCGATACTCGAAGCCTTGTTCGGGTCACCGGTATCTGCCACGTATCGTTGCGTACCCATTTTGGTTGAAGTATCCAGGGCCGGCTTCGTGCCCTGCCAAAAGACCGAGGCAGCCCCTCTCAGGTGGCGGCTGCGTCTTTGGATCTTCAGGTGCCCCTGGCCAGTAGCTGTTTCCAGAGCTAAATGTGGAATGGCTGAGAAATATGTGTGCCAGGCCCACATGCCTGACGATGCGAATTCCGCAGGGGCCGGAATAGTCCCTCGTGTGCACAGAGGGAAGCTTCTCCACGTCTCTTTCCACGCCGGGCGCATGAGGCCACTCCGGCACCGGCAGCCGTCACCCTGAACCCACCGCCGCCAGCTTCGGTGCCGGCGGTGCCGACGCTGGCGCCGGCACCGGTGCTGGCGCCGGCACCACCGGCGACAGTCAGCGCAGCAGATGCTCCCTTGAAGTCTTGCCTTGCCTTCGTTCATATTCCAAAGGCAGGTGCTTTGCACCAGCGTGGCAATCACATACAGTACTGGTATGTGCAACTCTCCTTGCAGGCGGCAGGCTCGAATGTCGAGGGTGTGATAGCACGCGCCTTCGGCCAGATGCTGAACGCACTTCTAGCCAGCAATGCAGGAGCACAGCACCCTACATGGCGATCGTCCCGAAAAAAGCGCTTCCGAGGCTACAACCAGGTCGTCGAGAATCCAGGTGATTGCAGCTTCACGGATCATGATTCTGTACGGCACAGTAGATATGCAGCTCATGAAACCACCCCACACTTTCACAGTCAGCCAAGGAGATGGAGGTTTGTGTTTCTTGTCCATGTTGTTGCTGGTTTCTCTCTATTCTCAGGCATTTCGATGCGAAAGATCGAGAAGACTGTCCGCTTCTGGGGCATGTGCGACGACAGGCTACAATGCGAAGCTTGTTCGCATGACGTATGGTGAAGAGCAGAGCACAAGGGCACTTCACGACGGAGATGCTCAACTCCGCCCGGCTTCCGTCAACATGAAAAACTGAGCTGTGCTTAGGAAAAAATGCTTACCCTTCTTTCCTTATAAGGGAACCTGTTCGTAAATAAGTTCCAAAGGGTTTCAAGCACAACTCAGAAAATGCAGAGTGAGTGAGGGCGAGTGACAGTTTACATGCTGAGTTGCTGTTTCGGACTCCAAGGAAAGCAAAAAATTGTGCGGGTGGTCTGGCTTCGACCTCAGATGGGACTGATTGAGGGGTTTTCGCTAGTCATGTCCAACATGGACGGCAATGGGCGTGTGACTCAATTTGCCCAGAGTCAGGTGCTGACTGCTGTGTCGAAGCTGCAAATCAGAGCCAGTGTGCTAGATGTGGCATGTGCCACGACCTTCATCTTCTGCACAAATCTAGATGCGACATGTGCAACCTTCACATCTGTTGCCTGAGGTTATGTAAACAAATCCTTTGTGCCGCAGCCTACGCCCAACAAGGGTGTGGAAGCTCGGGCCAGATTTTTCAGATCTCCCCAGTAAGCGCTGCTCATGCGCTGCTCACGCGCTGCTCACGCTCTGCTCACGCTCTGCTCACCTAGGATCGGTGCAGCTTCTGGCACTTCCCCCCTGCCTATGATGCACAGCTTGTGCAAGCCTTAGCATCCTTCGCCGTTGCCACTCTATTTCTGCGATGAGAACAACTGCCTCAGCAGATGCCAGCAGACCGGATGCTGTCCTGAGCTTAGGCAAAAACCTACTCCGAGGACTGCGACTCATTCTGCGTAGTTCGAGAACCCCTCAGCCGCTTCTTGAGCCATTGGAGGCATTGCTTTTGATCAGCCGAGCCTCCAAAAGCGAACACGGCCCCATGTGCAGGTGGCGGCACTTCAGCAAGCCAGCCGATTGCTCACCTGAAGTACTGGAGAAGTATACGAAGGCTCGTCGGCGGGATTCGGCCGTTTATAGTTTTCTCCAATCCTGGGCCTGTCCCTCACATGGAGGCTGTAGTGTCCTTCGCAGGGCCAGCCGCCCCAGCAGTCTAAACCCGAGCACCGAGATCCTGCGCGGAAATTTGCGATACTGAGATTCAAAAACCCCAAGCCTTCCCAAGTTCGCTGCAAGCATTGCACATGATGGTAATAAGGAAACAAGTTGAAACAAGCATATCAACATCTCCAGGTCCTAAATCACGAAAGTCTAAGCCAGAATGCCAGGAGAAGCTCGCTCAAGCGCGGGAAGACGTCCTTCTGGAGGACTGTCATTTCACGCCACAGGCGCTGGAACATCATAAACGGTTCAAACGCAAACAGTAGAGTAGATGCCCCTCCTGTGTAGGGCATACTAAGTGCTGTGTAGCTGTTCATACGTCTCTTTCTTCGTCTACATGTTTACATGGTGTTGGTCTGTGCACCTCATCTTGTTTGCTTGGCAATTCTTCTGTTGCAGTACAATGCTATCATGTGTATCTAGTATATGTCTACGTGTATATTGCTTGCAGGTGTACTATGCTTTCCAGAATGGCCTCCTGCCCGCATTGGAAAGCACGATCGTCACATGACAGGTGAGCGCAGTTGCTCGATTTCCACAGCAACTTTGACTAAACCTTATAGGCCCTAAAGGGCCTAAAGCCTAGAAACCCTAAACCCGGGTTGCAGACGTTTGTGCTCCCAGAGTTGTGACGCGGTGAGGCGATCCGAAAGCTCCTCGAATATGTCGGCACATAATCAAGCTGGAGCATCTTGATGCAGAGTTTGCACCACTGATGGCGCAGTACAACCTTGAGAAGGCCCCTTGCAAAGCATTACGAGGTCTGAGACTTTTGCCCGCCGCTGTTGCGAAAGCATCAGCGGAGCTCCGCGGTCGTTGCACCAGAATCTCAGAACATCAGATTTGTAAATCCCTCCCCAGACGCAAAATGTGCTGAATGCTGCTGAGTGACAGTTGACATTTCCCAGTCTCTAGATCAAGTCCATCTGTTTCAATCGAACTGTCAGCTTAAACCATGTGTTAGTTAAGTTCTAGTTACATGTCAGCACGTTAGTTTGCATATGTCCGGGCTCACACTAAAACAGAATTCCTAACGACATCAGTCTTTCTGCTGTGATTCGCAGTGCCTGCTTGGACCCCACCTAGACAGCGAAAAAAGATCTGAACTAGATGACCGAATAATTGCCCAGGTGCACCTCGGTAAGGGCAAATCACGCTCCAGCAAGCTGGCGGCACTGAAGCTCCTCAGGCGTTGTCATGCTCAGTCATTGCCATCGAATCAGTGCAGTGCACATCATCTGCCTCCTGCAAAAGCATGTGTTGTTGTTCTCCAGTGCTGCTCCCAAAAGACACCGTCATCTGCAGGGTGGTCTTAGGCAAGAGGGCCACACTTGCATTGGACTTGCCTGCACTAGACTTGCACATGCTTAGGCTGTTCTTGCTGGGGTGCTTGCTTTGGACTGAGGCAAGAAATGCGACATCGTCCCTACGGAAGCCACCCTGCAGCTGGTCAAGGCGAGTCGGCAAGTTGCTGCGGCCATCGTGATGCTTTGGCTGTGTGTAAGCTTCAGCATCTGACAGCCCAGTGGACTTGTCAGGAGTTCTATGCAGAGGACTACAAGGCCAACTCTGGACAAACTGTCGATCTGTGGGTGGAGGTGTCAGTGGCTTCCCAAGTTTCCAGCAGTGCCTTGCGCAGGCCTTTGGCTATTGATTGCGGCACAGACAAGAGATGCAGGCGACTGCAGCGTCAGTGGTGGTGCATGTCGTTGAGCATGATGCTCCGGAGCACCGCAAGAGCTGCCAGGGTGTCAGAAGCCTGCGCCACGGGTAAAAGAGTGTTGCCAAGTGCGCCCGCAGCTCCCCAAAGCCTGGGAAGATTCTGCTGACAGCGGCGCCTTCGAGGAAAGGAGGCCAGAGGAAATGCGAGCGTGTGCCTGCGAGCCAGGGAGTTGCTTCACATATGCGGGTCTTGGTATAAGTTCTGAGCCCTCACCACCAAACTGCAAGGCCGTCAAGAGATGTGTCCGTTGTAAGGAACATATTCTGTGCTTCAATAGGTCTAGAATTCAGATCAACTTCCAATCTCCTTCTCAGACTCCACCTCCTGAGCGGTGCGCCTCGAGCTGCCAAATAGAAGCAAAGCTGTCGCCACCGGGCTTAGGGCCTAGGGTTTTGCAACAAGGGTTCAGGGTTAAGAGTGGGGAATCACTTGGCTACATGTGTGGTGGTACGCCCTGAGTTCATGCCTGAGCTTTTGGGCAAGACCGGCCATGGATGTCGATACCAAGCTGTGACAGAGCTTTGAGCTATCTGCCGTCGATTCATAGAGTGGCATCATGCTGGCCGTGCCTTCGCGGCATGATTTGTCCCTCAGGGCTGTGCAGGTTACTCGGTAGAAATACGGCATGCGTACAGCGCCTCAGTCTCTGAGGCGGACAAGCTGGAACTGACCAGCTCCTTGGCAGCAGCATGCGGCAGATGAGACTTTGCTTGCTCGACTTCCTAATCTTTGCCTGCTTGCCCCTGACATTGAGGTTTAATCAAGAAAAGTGCAACTGATTTGAAGGGCAAGGACGGAGTGTTGGAGAGGCCTGCCGGGCTGGCATTGAAATTGAACCTTCAGTGAGTGGCAGGAGCTGGAGCTTAACAAGAGCAACTTGAAGCGCAAAGTGAGCCAACGCTTAAGGCCCTGTAGCAAGGGGCTGTGGCGAGACTTCGGCAAAGAGACCTCTGTCGTCTGCATGGTACAACCAAGGCAACTTCGAAGCTGTCGGGACGCAAGCTGCCGTATTGGCCGGCTTTGCGATCTGCATGATCGCGGCTTTTCTGAACATCGACACGCATGCCCAGATGACAGAGCCTTTATACAGAGAGAAGTAGTCAGACACAGCCCGTCAATGTGCAGCCGACGCTGGCGGAAGCTGCCAGCTCTAGGTCAAGATTGACTTCCCAGATGATGTCAATCCTATGAGCAGTTCGCTGTACTACTTCTTTGCCCTCGTCAACCTCGTGGGCAACATAGCACCTGGGCCGTGATGCTAGCTCTGGATGACTACTTGGTTGTACACCTTGTCACGGATTCGGGCCCCCAGCCCATCACCAAACCGGCCTTACCTGATAGTGCGCAAAATCGACTCACTCCTCCTGACGGAGCCCTTGTCCAGGAGATTGTCCGAAATCGAAATGAAAAACTGAAGCCCCATAAAAACCGTCAAACCCAGCACCCCAAAGCCACAGATTTGGCGGGGTTTCTTGTTTCGGGGTTGTGAGCGATGAGTGGAGAGGGCTCTTGTGCCTTGATGGCAGTGTGTTTTTCAGTACACGCCCCGGCATCTTCAATTTCAGCTGCTTTGGGATCGGCGTGTATGGGGTTCTAGTTTTTGTCTCGTGAACTTGTGCTCCAGTTCTTGCCTTTCGCGCACGCCAGCTCGTGAAAGATGTGCGAGTCAATGCACACTGAGTTGCACGCTGAGTGCACTTCTCCTGTAGCGCAGTTTGAGAGCTATCCTGTGTCGCGGCTGAGCTGAAGAGCTCAAGCTTTGTGGGCTATGCAAGGGAACTAGCCCTAGATACCACATTCTGGTTGGCTCAGCCGAGAGCCCAAATTAAGCAATCTGTCTTACACTGCCCACTGCACATGTTCGTCCTAAATACCATGAAAGAGGGAACGAGGATTCAGAAACTAGAGATTCAAGGGAGGGGGGGGGTGCGGAAACCCTAAATTCCCATAACCATTCCGCGTCGCCCTGCAGCACGGTATCTTCCAGCTAGAAAAGGGAAAGCCGAAGAGCCCGCCCTCTAACCTGGGGATGAGGCCTGCGTCGCCTCGGTGGCCTGCGTCAACATCGTGGGGACCAGTCTGGGCCTGCGCGGGCCAGATGGCTCCATGCTGCAGGCAGCCGACGGCATGCACAAGCAGATGCTTGGCTCGGGACCCCTCGGGTGTATCAGAGTCTCACTTGGGCTTAGGCATTTTTCCAGGGCCTTTTGGTGTGTGTGTGTGGGATTGGAGGGAGGATGCCAAGCAAGAGCTTCCGAGAAGAAGAGAAGAAGCTGAGAAGCTCCGCCCATTCTTGCAAGACTGAGGAGAGATCGAATCTTTTGGGCTTTCAGCACTGGGTTGGTGGGCTGTTGCCTGGTTTCTTGGCATACCTGGTATCTGATGAGCGTCTCTCTGGTTACGTCCTAAATAAGGGGTGGGATGCTTCAAGTTTTAAAAGCTCGACAATTCAAAGGGATAGTTCCCCAGCACTTGCGGTTGTCTTGTACGCAACCCTCAAGGCAACTATGGTGTTGGCCTGGCTTAAGATGCAGCCGCTTGGAAGAAGACATGTTGATAGATCCAGGTCCCAGGTGTTGCAGATGTTTCATGTATTGGGCGCGGGTTCCGAAAGCTGCCTCCCACTGCCAGGACTGCAACAGCCACTTTGTGCACCACAGTGGTGTTGTACGGCGTGGCTTCAGGTTTGACATTCTTCATGAGCATGGTGAGTTTGCATTCCGAAAGACCCGCAGATTTTGCCCGTGCTTGCGTTCTCGTGATGTGTGCTGCTATATGCTTGGCTAGAGGCGTGAAAGTTTCGCTACGCGTTCGGACCCTTGGCTGCAGCTACCATTCTACCAGAAGGGTCGTTTATGTGTTTCACCGCCTGCCTGCTAGGAAACTCTTCCAGTACAAGGAGACCGAGAGTGTCAAGGTGGATGACGTGCAGCACGGCCGCAACAGACAATGCGTTGGACCTGCTACCCTAAACGCTATGTGTGCCCGAAGCTTGTGTCTGCATTCCCCGACTACCCTGCAGTGCGGTGCGTCCGCTTGGCGGGTGGCAAAAAAGCGCTTCTGTGGATCATGTGGAGGCCCTCGCCTGCCATGTGCGAGAGTGATCGATGAAACCCCCTCAACCCTAAAATCCCAGGTTGAGCTCCGAAACTGTGGGCCCGGAATCCTTTGTCCGACAACTGGGCGCAGCTCGGCTGTGTTGGATGTGGATGATGTTGTCGTGTTTCAAGAAGCTGTGCCTGCATCGCTTCTCGCTGGCACATGGGGAGGCTTGCACTTTGGCTATAAGGGTTGATGTCAGGGGCATGTGATCAGGCCCAGACTTAAATGAACAGAAGTGACTTGTTTATTTGATGTAGCTCTTGTTGTGTGATCTTTTCTTTCGGGCGGCCGCGTGAAGTGGCAGAATGTGAGATAGCCATGGGCTTCATCAAAGGGGTGAAATGGCTACTGCCTTTGCTCCACGCTGTCAGCAACAACTATAGTACCCAGACCCAGAATGGGCCTTGCACCCACTGGACTTAAAGCGACCTTTGTTGAAGCGTGCCGCGTGCCACGACCGTGAGGTGGACAGCGAAACTCTAGTCCAGCCACTTGAATGCACTACGCAGCATGGCGAGTGGCTTCGCATGTGCGCATCATCCAAGCTGGCCAATCAGGAATGCAGAAGCAGCTAGACCTAGGCTTCTTGCAAACATGCGTCAACAGCGGCAAGACGGGGACATGGCTCCACCGTGAGTCTGATGCTTCTTCCTTACGCTGCTGAGTGGTTGCGCTCGGTGGCAGGTATCCGGCAAGGCTCATGTGCAATAGGACTTGTCAGAGATCAAGATGGCAGTGTCCATGCCTTTGGCAAGGCCTCGTTCAGTATGCATGCTCTCTGACAGGCAAAGCTCCCACAGCATCCGAAATTTGGGCCACTTGCGCACGACACAAGGACCGTGCACTCATTTTTTGCAGGTGGCCCGGAGGAACTCCATTAAAGACTTGGCCCTGCAAAAGCAGAGCTTGGCAAAAAGTCACCAAAAAGTTGTATTCCAGCGCTCAGAAGCTGTAGCGAAGGGGCTCTTTGCAAAAACCCAGAGGGTTTGCATGAACCCTGGTTTTGCAAAGAGGGCTCTTATAAAAACCCGCTGGCAGGTGCTTCTGCTGACAGCCCTCGCCAGACGGGATGGGAGCCGCCCTGAGCGTCAGTGCTTGCTCTTCCCCAAGAAGCCCCCAACACTCTCCCAACAAATACTCCCCCCCCCCCCCCCAAAGAAAAAGTTAAAGAGAACCATAAAAGAAATGCTAGCGGAAAATGGCAATGGTGATGAAATAAGGCCATTAGCAACCATTGGCATTTTTAGTTTTTGATCTATCCCTAAACCCCAAACCCTAAACCCCAAACCCCACGTACGGACCAGACTGTTCCCTGCGGAGTGATCCTTGAGGGTCTGCTAGGCGGGTGGCAAAAAAACCCCAAACCCCAAACCCCAAACCCCAAACCCCAAAACCCCAAACCCTAAACCCCAAACCCTAAACCCTAAACCCTAAACCCATGTATGCATCCTGCTGGGAGCCTAGGCTCCATGCCATGGTCGTGTGCCGCAAAGCCGTTGGAACACCCGAGGCGCTTTTCACTCGCAGGGTTGGTTCTCATCGGGGGTTTAGGGTTTAGGGTTTAGGGTTTAGGTTTAGGCTTCCTCTGCTTCAGTTGTCTGCGAGTGCGGATGCAGGAGTATGGTCCGTCCTCGCACATACCGAAAGAGACAGAGAGTCGATCGGATAGTCCATCACTGCAGTGTGCTGAATAAAGAAGAAGATCGGTGTTGTTCGATCAGATACATCGCAGACACAGATGGAATCAGGTGGAAAGTAGTGCACCTGCATCGGGGATTCCGATTCCTTCGCGAGAGTGCGTCTGTTGTCCGGATGTCTCCGAGGGCTGTCGAGATCGAGGAGTTTGGTTCAAACCTTTGCAATGTTTGTTCAACATCAGGGCGGCACCTTCAAAACTTAGGGTCTATAGGGCTACTTAAGGTTTGAGGGTTCAGGGGTGTTTTTGGCAGCGCCTGGCTAATGTAACGGAAGGAACTGTGGCGTTTGTTTGTTGTAGTGAAACTTCGAGAACAGGGTGTGACTGGCCACCAGGTGATCTTCCGAACGTCTTCTGTGGTTCTGACCAGCGGGCGGTGACGCACAAAAGAGACAGAATGTTGGGGTGCAACTGTATGATGGGGTAAGCTATTGGCGCAGCACAGCACGATTGAAAAAGTGAGTGGCGCTCCTTGGCAAACAGCGTTTGCAATGTAGCATGTTGAAGACAAGGTATATTGCATGTATGTCCCAGATACCTATAATGATGCAACACGAGCTACGCAGGGTGGGCAGGAGTGTTGACTTAGCTGTTTGTGCATCTGGTTCACATCGAACATCATCAGAAGACGGGGGCGCCACAATGTCGTCCTTGTTCTTGGCGGTTGCTTGCTGGTTGCTACTTGGGCTTTTGACACGATGATTCTTCCCCACCACAGTACATTCAAATCTTATGCAGATGTTCGCACAGCTCGATTCTTCCGTGCGGTGTTTGGACATGGACATCAAGCACGAGAAGCTAAGGGCCACGGCCAGCGCGGCCAGTCAATGCCCTGACTGTGTCAGCAGGACTGGCGCCACACCTTCGTAGCCGACGGTATCGTGACTCCCACGTGTAACCTTTCGGGATCCGAGGTGCAAAACTGAAATCTTCTCCATTCTATATAGCGGATCCACGACATAATGCCGCCACATCCCACTAACACCTTTGAACCCGCTGACGTGGATGTGACTGTGATGCGTCGCCTGGCCTGTGCCAGTGTGAGTGTCGAAGCCCTGAACACCTCCAACCCCAAACCGAACCCTCAAACCCCCCCCCCCCCCGACAAGAACCAAACCTAAGAGGAGCTGGAGGTGCCCCAAGCGATGCAACCCGTCGGATACAAAGCTTCACCGCTTTGACTTCCAGTACTCGGAGAAAAGGTGTGCGGAAGTCGTACCGTGGACTCTCAGAAGCAGGATGGCACAGCAGTTTGTCGTGGCTTGTGGGGCTTCACATGCCTTCACTGTATGGTGGATTTGGGGCTTTAGGGGGCTGTTTAGGTGCTAGGGAGACTGAGGGAGGGGGAGGAGATAACTTTTTATGAGAGATCTGACAGACAGATTCCAGGAATGGCAGCTCTATGCAGGTTGACATGGACTTGTGGTGCCTTGCCTTGAAAAGCTGCCGAGTTCCATCTTCTGGGAATAAACGCCGCCGGGGGGGGGGGGCATGGGGCGCGACAAGGTGCGCGATGCCAGCGACAAGGCGATGCCGCGATTTTTGGTGCCGACAGAAGAGGCGCCTCGAATCGAAGTCCAGTGTTAGTGGTTGCTTCCAACTCTCTTCGGCGCAGACATTGTTCTACTGAAGCACGCTGCTGCCGCCTGAATTGTAGCGCCAAGGGTTGGCTGCGACAACATGAACCGGCATCGTGGCCAGCAGAATATTTCCAGTGGAGTTGCAGTAGAGAAAATGGCAGCTCGAAGAAATAGGGGGAGAGCAACCTGCATCTAGTTTCGTAGCTGCACATTGATCATCGCTGCAATGTTGTGGGATGGTGTGATATGCAATCGCCTTGCAGGGTCAGTCATAAGGGCCACACTGTCATTGTTGGAGTCGGTCTTTTGGCGTATTGTGTGGTGTGGCATGATGTGCTTGTGTTGTGGGGGGGGGAGTGTGGGGGGAAAAAATACGAATCAGAGACCAGAGAGTCGAATCAGAGACCAGAGGGTAGAATCAGAGGCCAGGCTCGGAATCAGAGACCAGAAAGGCAGAATCAGAGACCAGATGCCAGAATCACTTCCCTCAGGATCAGAGACCAGACAGGGCCGAATCAGAGACCAGGCAAGGCCGAATCAGAGACCAGGCAGGGCTGAATCAGAGACCAGACAGGGTGGCTGCCGAAACCAAGGGTTTATCAAGAGAAAGCAAAGGGTTCATTGTTGTAACCACTGGTTTATTTGCCAAGACAATGCCCGCATCGTGGGTTTGGAAGGGATTCGTTTGAAGCAGGCTTGCCCGAGGTAAAAAAAGGGGTTTGGAACGGATTCTTTTGAAGCAGGCCTGTCCGAGTAAAAACAAACGGCACAAGCCCGAGGAGAAAAAAAAAAAAAAAAGCGGGGGGGTTGGGGGGGGCGCAGCCCCCCCCCATTTGGCAAGACAATGTCCGCATCGTGGGTTTGGAATAGATTCGTTTGAAGCAGGCTTGCCCGAGGAAATAGAAAAGCGGGGGGGTTGGGGGGGGGCGCAGCCCCCCCCCATTTGCCAAGACAATGCCTGCATCGTGGGTTTGGAAGGGATTCGTTTGAAGCAGGCCTGCCCGAGGAAAATAGACAAGCGGGGGGGTTCGGGGGGGCGCAGCCCCCCCCCCATTTGCAAACACAATGCACGCATCATGGGCTTGAAGCGATTCGTTTGAAGCAGGCTTGCCCGAGCCCCCCCATTTGCCAAGACAATGCCCGCATCGTGGGTTTGGAAGGGATTCGTTCCAAGCAGGCTTGCCCGAGTAAAAAATGGGTTTGGAACGGATTCATAATGAAGCAGGCCTGCCCGAGTAAAAACAAACGGCACGAGGCCGAGCAAAATCCCCCCCCCCATATGCAAACACAATGCACGCATCATGGGTTTGGAAGCGATTCGTTTGAAGCAGGCTTGCCCGAGTATAAAATACAAGCGGGGGGGTTGGGGGGGGCGCAGCCCCCCCCATTTGCCAAGACAATGCCCGCATCGTGGGTTTGGAAGGGATTCGTTTGAAGCAGGCTTGCCCGAGGTAAAAAAAAGGGTTTGGAACGGATTCTTTTGAAGCAGGCCTGTCCGAGTAAAAACAAACGGCACAAGCCCGAGGAGAAAAAATAAAAAAAAAAGCGGGGGGGTTGGGGGGGGCGCAGCCCCCCCCCATTTGGCAAGACAATGTCCGCATCGTGGGTTTGGAATAGATTCGTTTGAAGCAGGCTTGCCCGAGGAAAATAGAAAAGCGGGGGGGTCCCTGGCTGCTTGAATTGGGTCGGGTTGGTTGGGTTGGTCGGTTCGATCGGATTGGTCAGGGCGGTCGGGCGGGTCAGGTCCGGTTGGGTTGGTCGGGTGGGTCGGGTGGGTTGCTTGGTCAAGGGGTCAGGGGCCGGTGGGGTGGGTCGGGTCGGCTTGTTGCTGCGCCACAGGACGGTGCCGATAGCATTCTGCCACGAGGGTACGTCATGGTGGCTGAATGCAATGGTCTACTCTTTCAGTCGCTGCGTTCACTGGTGAGGGTCCCTGGCTGCTTGGGCTGGGTGGGTCGGGTTGGTTGGGTTGGTCGGGTCGATCCAATTGGTCGGGGCGGTCGAGCGGGTCGGATCCGGTTGGGTTGGTCGGGTTGGTCGGGTGGGTTGCTTGGTCGGGGGTCAGGGGCCGGTGGGGTGGGTCGGGTCGTCTTGTTACTGCGCCACAGGACCGTGCCGACAGCATTCCGCCACAAGGGTGCGTCATGGTGACTGAATGCAATGGTCTACTCTTTCGGTCGCCTCGCCCACTTGTGAGGGTCCCTGGCTGCTTGGGTTGGGTTGGTCGGGTTGGTTGGGTTCGTCGGGTCGATCGGATTGGTCGAGGCGGTCAGGCGGTTGGGTTGGTCGGGCTGGTCGGGTGGGTTGCTTGGTCGGGGGTCAGGGGTCAGTGGGGCGGGTCGGGTCGGCTGGAGTCTGTACTCGCGAGCCTTGTCTCTGAATCCGATGTCTGGTCTCGGAATCTGGGAGCTTGGTCTCTGAATCTGTTCTCCTGCTGGTCTCTGATTCCCCCCTGCTGGTCTCTGATTCGGCCCTGCTGGTCTCGGAATCCCGTGTCTGGTCTCAGAATCTGGCTGCCTGGTCTCTGAATCTGGTCTCCTGCTGGTCTCTGATTCCCCCCTGCTGGTCTCTGATTCGGCCCTGCTGGTCTCGGAATCTGTTCCCCTGATTCGGCCTTCACCCAGTGTGGGGATGTGTGGGGAGTCTGGGGGGGGGGGGGGGGGGGGGGGGTTGGTGTATGGTGGTGTGGGATGGGTGGTGTGGTGCGGTGTGGGGTTGTGTGGGGTGTGGGATGGTGTTCGGCGTGGGGCGGTAGCGGGGTGGTGCTGTGCTGTGCTGTGCTGTGCTTGTTGTGTTGTGTTGTGTGGATTTGTGTGGTGTCGTGTGGTGTTGTAAGGTGTTGAAAGGTGTTGTAAGGTGTTGCGTGGCGTTGCGTGTGAGTGTGAGTGTGTGTGTGTGGGAGCTTTTTGCCTTGCAGGTACACATTCCGAGGACTGCTTTCCTCAACTGGATCGTGCCCCGTGCCACCCGAGCACGAGGATTTAATGGTGCAGAATCTGAGCTGGGCAGCTGCATGACACGGCATGAGGCGGTGACACGTTTAGTAGTAGTTGGGGACTGCGCCCTTGATTTTGCTGAGCCGCCTGCTGGAGCTCATAGCAAACTCAGGAATTGCCACTGGGTCTGCAAGCGTGGTGCACCCTTCATGCGTTGCAAGTACGACTTCGACCACTATGGCAAGCATGGGATACAGCGACTTACTGAGACAAGCAACAAAAAAAGAACGGCTGCAGCGAGGGAGTAGCTGCTGACCCCATCGCAGCATACTGCACTGTTCGTCACCGAGGTCCAGGCTGGACACGTGCTGGATCCAGGACTCTTGTCTGAGCCATGTCCCGAGAGGAGAGATTCAATGGCACAAAAGCTGGGCATGGCTGCGCAAGGAAAGATGCGAACAAGGCCAAGCTCAATCCATAACGACAACATGCAAGCCCGCGGCCCGTGCAGTCGAACCCCCACATGAGCCTCGGAACGCAGCAATTTGGTGGTGAAGCAGATCGCGGCAAAAGCCTGATGCGTTCTGATGCCAAAGGCCAGTGTGCTCGGATTTGCAACTTTGCTGGTCGCAGACCTGGCTCCTTTCATGGCTCAGCCTGGCTTAGACCGTGCATTGGGCGGCGCGCTTGCGAAGCTGGCACCTCACTGCCCTAGCTAGCAGAATTTTGCGCTTGATGCCTTCTTCTTTTCGGATGAAAGTACAACATGTTTGCCTGGAGCCACGCAGCGAAGGTGGCGGTTGCAGAGTCACAAGTTGCAGTGGAGATCCGCGGAAACATATCACGACAGCGCGACATGCTGGGCAACGCCACACAAGCTTTGCACGTCCCTTGCTTGACTTTGACAGTGTTCCATCGACACAGCTGATGGCTGATCTGAATAATGTAGAATACATGTGTATAAAAATCTCTTGTAAGCACCGAAAACAGGGACCCTAAGAGGAACACAGTCCCCACTTGCACAGGCGTCATTCAACATCTCCGTTTTTGGCAACGCGAGCGCCAGTCCCTTGCAACGCGCTGTTGCCACCAAAGTGTTGATGGAGCAAGCGAACAGCAGCGAAATCTCCGGCGTCATGAATCGGATGCTTTCAGCACGAGGCCGGGGTAGAAATGATAGAACGGTGCGAAGGATAACAAGGTGCTGGAACTTCACTTGAGGGAGGCCTCCTTGTTTTTCCTGAGGTCTGGAGGCGTCTGTGCAGGCAGCGGACCTGACAGTAAGCCCTGGTCTGCACAACACGACGGCCCAGAGCCCTTCTGGACAGGAGCCCAGGGCTGAACTCTACAACTCCACCATCTCCACCTTCTGGCAATGTTAGGGTTCAGGCTGTAGGGTTTAGGGTTTATAGGGTTTAGGGAACCCAACAAAAAAGAACTCGACAGTTCAATGCCCAAGGTCCGTTGAGTCTCGGATGCGTAGCAAAAGGGTTCGCGCTTTGAGAGCCAGGGGTCTGGGGGAGGTGTCCCGAATCCGTGCGTTTAGCATCCGCAAGAGCTCGTGCGCGTTCATTCGTGGCCAAACTGGTGGGTGAGGTGACAGCCACGAGGATGGTGGCTGCCAGAGACGCCGTCTTCTAAACTGTCGTCACTTGCGAAGCTCATGTAAAGCTTCGCGCTTCAAAGTGCTCACAGTCACGGCATCGTCATCCTCGTGAGTGTGTCATCACGTTGGGAATCTTTGCAAGCTTCGGCATTGTCTGCGCATAGCCTTGAATCTGTCGTTGGTGCTGTCCTCCTCGTCTTCGTCGTCGTCGTTGTCGCTGTTGATGTTACTGTTGTTCTTGTTGCTGTTGATGTTGCTGCTGTTCCTGTTGATGTTGCTGTTGCTGCTGGTGTTGCTGTTTCTTCTGTTGCTCCTCCTCCTGCTGCTGCTGCTGCTGCTGTTGTTGCTTCTGCGGGCTGTGGTTATGCGGAGGGTGACCGCACGAGCGAGCCATTACATCGGTTTAAAAATTGCGTTTTGTTTTTGTCATGGTCTCGCTGTGTCTCCGTGTGTTTCCTGCATTCTGGTTCGTGGCCGTATTGTTTCAGGACGAGGGGAAGGAGTGGTGTTCTCACAGCAACAGTTGCCCGAGGAATTCTACGCTCTGGTCTCACTTCTGCGCAAGTACAAGGACTATTTGGATGAGGCCAGTGCCTGATCGGCCCAACTTTGCACCAGCAGAGCATGAGCATCTGTCTACTACCTACATCTACCTACCATATCAACCTTTGCAGGCCCAGTTTCCTTCCCTGATCCAAGGTGCACACAGACCTACAAGAGGCGCAGTCCGAGATGAGTCTGCAGACCTCCGGCTGCATGATGATAGCATTGGGAGTCCCGCATCCCGTGCAAGAAGCTAGGAGAAATGAGCATTGCACTGATCGTACGAGGAACTTGTCGCGGGAGGACTTCACGACTATCCAGGCTAAGCACACCTCGGCCAGGCAGCACCTGTCACGATCTTAGCTCACAGTTCGTGTTTCGGGGCGGGGGGAGGGGGGTGGTTTCTTTGGGGTGGGGGGGGTGTCTAAGTGCAGAGATCAAATTGCAAGAGGGCGCAGGTTCAGGCACAGGGAATGGGGGAATGATGGGAATGGGGGGGGCAGGGGGGCCGGGGGGGGGGATCGTTTGTTTCTTAGTTTCGTGCTTGCTACACTATGAGTACAACGACCCATAGGAGGATTCTCTTCTAGGCTTTTGTGAGTTCTTGAAATCTCTGAATGCGCTTTGTTCACTCATTGTGTCAATGCTCCGAATCAGCTCCTGTCCAAATCCCAATAGAGGAGGTGCCTTGCCATCTTTCTCTGAAGAACCTATGTAAAACATCAGACAGCCAAGGGTCAACGTGGGCATGTGATGGCATGTGTTCTTTTGATGTCCTGTTTTTTCGTTGTTCCACTCAATCCCTTGGCGTAAAAGTGATGTTTGGGAGACACTTCTCCAAGATTCTTGTTTCAGAGACCTGGGGCCTAGCAGCTGCATGCTTCCATCGCAGTTGCTACACACCCGAGCCGAACGCTGGATCCTGGCGGTCTTAGCGGCATCAGGCCGGCAGGATTCTTTTTTTTTGTCTTCAAAATGGGAAGCAGTTCTTGACTCCCGCATGTCCCCATTATCCCAACCCACGATCTGCCGAGAAAGCCGATGTTATTGGTTCTCGGGTCCATGTCGGAGCGGTGTGTTTGAGTCTGACTCATACCCCGACCCGAGGTATCTATGGGGGAAGGCAAAAGAGCTTGCTTTGTTGCTGCTTTGTAGGGCTCGGGTGGGTGGGAGGGGGGGAGGGCGAAGGGGGAGGAGGGTGGCAGTTATCGCATTTCAAACATGTTACATCACTCCCCAACAACGCTTACTGTACATGAAGAGCAAAACCTGAATGCACTGCATAAATAACAGGAGCATATGCCTGTAGTGTGGTTCCTGTTTGTGTGCGGTTGTCTCCCCCCTCTCGTTCTTCGCTGTCGATTTGGGCTCGTGCTTCGCTAGCGCATTACCAGCACAAACCAAGTAACTGGCCCAAAGAAGTAAACGTAGCGTGCTCTTCATCCTGCTTGATGACTAGGAGTGTCCGCTCACTCATTCACCTTGCTCACTTGTAATTATACAACAGGTCAGGACGACCCTAAGAACAACATCCCGCACAAACAAGTTTTCAACAAAGGCTGCCAATCATCTTCCCAATGTCCTCGACATGCTGGTCTGCTGTGCAAACTAAGGTCACAAATCATGTCGTCACATGCAGAGCTATCCTCCGAGATTGAGACAGCCATTGCTCAGCCGCTCGGAGCATCAGCACAGTATGGGCCACCCCCACACCCCGAGAAGGCATCGAAGTCAGAAGCTGCAACAACAGAGTGACCATGAAAAACCCTAAACCCTACACCCTAGTGTGAGAGTCGAAACCCTACACCCTACACCCTAAACCCTAAACCCTAAACTCTAAACAAACCCTAAACCCTGAGCAGAGGCGGAATTTGTCGAAGCACGCGCTGGCCATGGCGCAATCGGCCGCCCAGTCGGCCGCTGCTAGCCTGCACGGCCATGTCTGCAGCTTTTCGGGGGGGGCCACGGCTTCTGCATCCCCTGGGCGTTTTCAGGGCAAAAAGAAAGGCTTCCAAGGTCTACTGTCCAAACATTGTAAGACCACTTCAAGACATCCCAAGAGCGCAGCCGAACTTGATGCTGCCATTTTCAAACGTCCAGCCGACGCACCGGAGCGCCTGTAAAAATGGCTCCTCTCAGTCCAACCTCGGACGTGGCCCGGAACGGCGCAGTAGGAGGGAGGAATGTGCCCCGGACGCACGGCGCATAGGCGAGAGCATCCGGGCCCGCAGGAAAAACCGAGACGGTCACATCGATTTCGAGGCCCCGTTGGCGTATGTATTCGCAGGTCCGCTTGGAGGTTTGGGGAAGCTTTTTGTCTGACCAAGAAGACTTTGAAGTGGACAGGAGCCTGAATGAGGTGGGTATCAGAGTCAGAGCACCCGGCTGCCGGGAAGGCTGGCACACTGATTCTGCGTGATTGTTCTGAGACACAAACCCATCGAATTCGGCATAGCCAGTGACAAGGATTCGGACGCTAATCTCATCTAAGCAGCGGAATCTTGGCAAGACCACACCCTTTTCACAAACAAACCATCTGACAAAAGCAGCGCAACTGGCAAAGGCCCTACCTACGAAGGTAATTTGCAACGAGAACCTCATCGCAAAGACACAGCTTTACCAATCAGTTCCCGTGTGTCCGGAAAGCGACGGCATAGGCTGGACCCCACCTTGTCCTGCCCCCTTCGTACTTGTCTTCATTGTACTGTAGGTGTTGACGTGAATTGCTGCCTGTTTTGTTGCTACCATGAATCGTTTTGATAAGGGCGCGCTTTTATTCAGATCTTCACATCAATGATGGGAGCCGCCCAATTGCCTGAGAGAATTCTGTGTTTCAACAGAAATAGCTTCCTTCAAGAAAAGATCAAAAAACCTCCAAGCACAAGAAAACAATGGCAGGAAAACATGTTGTTCATGCAAGTTCCTTGGTAGTGAGTTAGTGCGTAGCATTTCCGAGGAACACAATGGTTTTTGACCCATAAGAGGTTGTGGACCTACCAGCCCCTCTAGCAGCGTTATACCAAAAATTTCATCCACCCCTCCCCCACCTTTGCAAGGAGCAGTACTTAAAATGCAAGAAGCCCAGTGCTGAGGCTGCCGAACTGCTCCGGATGCAAGCGAACTTGTCCTCTTCGCAGGTCCGAAGGGGTTTCCGGGCTTGCAGGGTTGTTGAGAAGGTGTGTGGAGTGAAGCATCAGGGGGGGCCTTCCTTGTCTGGTGGCAGTGGAAGCCACAAAGCCATAAAGTTGTGGAAAACCTGGTCAGGCCGATCTCGCCGCGCTGAAACAGAAGCAAGTGGAAGCTGAGAAGCTGGCCTGCAATCAGCACACAAGCGCAGAATCAAAGACAACCTGCTGCAGGTTGCAGACGCCTTTTATCCTTTACAAACATCGCCCCAGACATGCCGAGCTTATGGCCCATGCAGCTTCTTTTCTTCTCAAGTTTGCTGTCCCTGCTGCAACATCACATGTCTCAAAAAAACCACGCTGGGGGTGCTATGGTAGCACGGACGTTCTTGTCGGGATTGGGAGTGCATAAGGCACACAAAAGACAGTAAATCCCTACGTCTTCAAGGGGCAGCAAAGCCCAGAAATCGCAGGTGTCGAGAGCATTGCTATCAGCCATGTTTTCCGTCGTTTATCCGGAGGGCTGAGCATTCCGTGTCATACCCCGGCATGCACCCCACAATTCAGAAGTGAGCTTGAGCTAACGAGTTGGCAGGCAAAGTCTTCTGAACGCTCTGGCTGCCAAAGAAGGCTTGAACAAGCAGTTGAAGGCAGGATTGGCTCGTCCTGGTTTGGTGTGGCGTTGACACGCTTGTTGATGGCAGCAACAGTTTACCGAAGCCTTGCTTGCCTAGTGCGAGCATGAGAGTCGCAAAATGCTTTTGTGTGGTAATACATGGTATTGCGATGCACGACGGCTGTTTCAATGCCACCTCGCTAGGCCAACGCAACCAGACTGGGCACTTCGCTCGAGGCTGTTTACGAGGCCGGGAGCACACAGTTCCTTTGCAATCGAGCAAGGACTTATTCAGGAACCAAGGTTGGCTTCGGGGCTCGGTCAGAGCAGGAGTTTGCTCCTTTTTCTAGGCCGGTGACTGGCGCGCTACAGTACTTTCTACATCGAACTTCTCAAGCCAAGGATCTGAAGTACATGCGGCAGCTGCTGGTGGAAACCCGCCAGGCACCTTTGCCTTCAACCTCCCAGACAGCCTGCAAAATCACAGGCTACATCACGCGAATGTTTCTGCGCCTTCTGGCGCCCCACTTTGCCGCATGCCCATGTGTCGACTCGTGCTCCCTCCGTGCAAGAAGCCGAGGCGAATCAAAGCATCCATGAGGACTCCGGTTGCAGTGCTCAAGCTTCGTCGAGCCATTCTAGTCTGATTCACCGCTGTTCTCCGCCATTGTACAGTACAACCTGCAGCTTGCGATATCGCGATCAGGAGCTGCGCAGCTTGGAGGAGGACTTTCTGGAGGCGCTAGCGGTAGGCAGCAAATGCCAATGCAGTTCTGACATCAAAAAAGATCCGCGCCAGCTGAAAGGAGCAAGCCAACCACAACGTCACAAAATTTGTACTGGCGCTCGTCGCCATCTCAGTCGACATTCGGGTGGTGAGAATGGGGCTCCCTAAACATCCCAAAGCCCGACGCCGCGTCCACGGAACCCTACCCCTGCGCTGGTGTGCGTGTCGAAACTGCTTCCATTGGGGTCATGTCAAGGAGCGACAGGACCACAACCTAACAATGGAAGAGCTGGAGAAAGCCGAAGAAGATCGCGCTCGAACGCAGTGGCGGTTGCAGTCCGACGCTTTTCTCACTTTACTCCACCAAGCCATGAACCATGAGAGCCAGCACGAGCCAGCCGCATCTTTACGAAATTGGGAATAGTTGGGACATGATGGGGCTTCTGGGGGCGGCCTTGCCAGGAGAAGCAGCAGCACATCGAAACCAAGCAGGGTCTGCATGATGAGCAGGTCCTCCACCTACAGACCAAGGCTCAGCTGCGCGAGGCCACCGTCTTGTCCAGAGTGAGGTTGTTCAAGTAGATCCATATGGAAAGCAGGTAGCTTGGGAATCTTCCAGTTGGAACAAGACTTGCATGACCAAGTGTTTTTTGACATTCGCATGAGCTGCCACAAGGCAGCCGGATAGTTTTGCATGTGGCTTTTTTCCTGCTACAAGTAGTTAGATTGGCTGTCCCTCGATCAATGTATTGAAAGAATCCCAACACTTTCGCCACTTGCAGTGCTGCTCCTTTGCGAACAGACGTTTTTCTCCCGCGCACCTGCGGCTCCCATGTCCTGCCAGGCGAGCAAGGCGGCCTCCACGATGACATTGACCTTCATTCTTGTGACATCCTGCATGTCGCTACTGGTGGTAGCGCTGGCTGCGGCGTTCCTCGTGATCCGGCCATCAGCGCAGCTAGGGGGTAGGCATAGCTTACAGTCGTCTCCCATGCGCAGCTTAATCTGAGCTTCGCTCCCTTAGGTGACTCTGCTCCGCAAGCGCAGCGTGGAGCGAATTCCCGTCCTGGCACCGAATGCAGGTGGCCGTCTGCCTAGGCATTCTCGGAGCTGCCCTCTGCCAAGAGTCTACCCTGAGTGCCGGCCCGACCCAGGCGAGAACAACATCGTGGTAGGCCTTCGCTTCCTCAAGCTTCGTGCATCTCCCACTTTGAGGCCTCATAGGCTGCAACCTCGTTCGCACCAGTGTGAAGGCCGTCCAGTGCAGCCTCCACCGGCAACGGACGCATGGGTCAAGACCGCGCTTGCCTGAGACTGCAAGTATCTGTGCGTAACCGGGTTCCCGCTACGTCTCTTGCTGACATGGCATCAAGGTGGGCTTCCTGTTCCGTGTAGCTTTCTGCATAGAAGCGTAGTTCGTTCTGCACGATGCGTGTTTCGCGCCAGTAGGCTGCAAGTAGGACGAAGTAGGTTAGGTGTAGGCACGTGTTTCAGCACAGTTGTGGCACGCAGTACGGCCCGCTGCCTGTACGTTCTGCTTCGGGAAGTGGCAGTGAGGTTTCCAGCTCGTTCCGCTTTGCATCAGCGTTTGCTCGTGCATGGCGGATGGGAGGGTTGGAGGCGTAAAGTTGACCCGAATCATGGCCGCTTTCAAACGCAGCAGAACTTCGCAAGGTCGAGATCGGCACAAAGGGAGGGCCTACTTTGCTTACAAGTGCGTCCAGCTGGGCTGGATGCTCGGGGAGGCCACGTTGCATTAAGCTCGGCATGGCTCGGGGAAGTACTGTCGCAACCCATGAGCCCGAACATTACCGCTGTCTATGCTCGGTCGTACAGCCAAGGAGCCCAATGAAGGAACCGCAGCGCATCGATGATGCTTGAAGCAATGCCTTGATGGCACCTAGCTGCGTCTACTAGGATGCAGCACCTGGCTTCCCAACGCGAATTGGGGGGGGGGGGGGGGGTGCAAACCTGTATGAGATGGTTGCTGGGTAGGCACTTGGACCAGCATGTGTGAGGTTTGTGGTGAGGGTTTGATGTTCCCGAATTCAACGCCTCTGCTGCATAGCTGCCTTGACGCAGGGGCCCGGTCAGCCAAAAGCGCCCGGACAACCTGTACAAAAATCTCGCAACTTACATCCGAGCTCGATGTCTAGCATGGCAACTGCCCATGTAGCTGGGCTTGAGCTTTCGCGTCAGAGCTCGGCTTTAGTAGGACCGGTTTTGTCTTAAGCTTAAACGCCGCCCCTTGTTTCTGCCATGCAGCACAAGGGCAGCGACGGCCAATGAAGGATAAGACGCCGCTGGGCGATGTTTTCCAGAAAAGCTCTGAGAGGCTGCTGAGGACGCTGCATTTACATCTCCTCCTTGTCTCTCAGACCTGTGCTGGCCACAAGTGTCGCAGGAGCACTGTGCCCAAATGATTCTTACGAGCATATGTGCAGGTCAATACAATGGCGAAAGATGGATCTGCCGAAGATAGTCTTGCTTTAGAGTCATTTGGGACTTGAGCTTCGGTGCTCGGTTCAAAAAGCCTACTGCAGACTGCATTCGTGCATTACCATGCGTGCGTACGGCTACGCGAACACGCTGCCAGCACACAATGCGCACATGGCAATGTGGCTTGGCCCTGGGTTCCTCCGATCACTGCAGACGCTTCCGACACATGACATGAGCAACAAAGCGGGACACAAGATGTACGTACAGTTCCTCAGAGCAGGATTTCCCGCATAGAGCGTGCCGGCCCCATGTGGCTGCTGGTTCCAGTTGCATCCTTTGCTTACCTTGGACGTTCAGGGCGTCAACAGACGACAGTTGCCTGCCGAAGTCAGCGCAACTCAGCCGCATGAGCACAGGTTAAAATTGGACTGTTTCACAGCCAGCGCATCCGATTGAGACCATGGACGGTCGAGTCAACTGAACCTTCAAAGTTTCAGACGTGATCTCAGGTGTCGCAGCGGGCCCTCGAGCCCTGGCAGCGCTGCCTCCAGGGCCCACAGGGACAGCACGCCTGGTCGTGGCAGCAGCGCGTGGGGCCGAGTGGTGGGAAGAGGTCCCGGGCGGATCATGGACACGACTCCAGGAGGCTGCAGACCCCGGCTTGGGAAGGCCTTTCTTTTCAGTGGCTGTGGAGCCCAGCACCGGCTTGGTTGCAGTTGGAGGCGGTGCCGGCCGTGCAGCAAGCCTTTTTGCTCCGAACGGCTCGTTGCTGGCCACCCTGGGCGGCCACACTGGTTGGGTGCGCGATTTGCTTTTCCAAGATGGCCAGCTGTTCAGCATCGGCTGTAATTTCATCAAGGTCTGGAGGCGGCATGGCGACGCCCATTCCTCTTGGCGTCACCTGGGCGATCTTGAGGCTGGCTGTTGTGCAATATGCGGTAGATGGTGTATCAAAGCAACTCCTCCTTGCAAGGTTCGAGGTGATCTCCTTGCACTGTCCGTGCTTGCCTTGAAGCATCGGAGCTGTCTGCATGTCCTGGTGCAGGGAAGAGAGCAAATTGACCCTGGGGCGTGAGCAGTATGGCAGTGACATGAGCTTGGCCGAGGTTTGTGGGGGCTTTTTGGTTGCATCCGGGGCTTCCAGACGACACCACTGGTTCCGATTGTCAAGCAGCAAGCTGCGCCCGAAAGAGTGGCTAGCAGAAGCGCAACGTGTCATCACCGGCATGATGAGTACCCATATAGCCTTGTGACCAAGCACTCCACCGTACACGTCGACCACCGTCCGAGGCAAGCATCGCTCACGGAAACGGACAGTCCTCACATTGGTCGCACGACTTGCCTGGCCTGCAGAGGGTCAAGGCTGGGGCGATGGTTGTTTGCGATTACGGGGGTGATTTTTTGGGTAACTCTGGGATTCTGGGTCAATTTTGGGTTACAGCCTCCCCACGGAGGCTGTTCTCCTGTGGGCATGATGGCAGAGTGTGCATACGGCAAGCGGATGGCAACGCACAGAAGCTTGGCTTGGGAAGCACGTGAGTGGAACCGGAACACCGGCCAGCAAGAACCGAACCAGGTGCTCCGACGAGCTGCCAGGGGGGAAGCTTCTCTCCATGGCGCTCCTTGATGGGGGAAAAGTTGCAGTTGGTACGGAGGTGACTTAGCTGATGCTGCGAGAGGGTCACCTTGAGAAAGACTAGGCCAGACTGACTAGATGTGTTTCTTGTCCACTACCCAGACAAGGAAGGGCAAGTGCATGTCCTCGATGCAGAGAGCCTTCGGGCATTGGCCAGCATCCAGCCATTCCCTGGTTCTCCCATCAACGCATTAGCGCAGGTCCCTGAGGAGCCCCAGCCTTCGGTACCACATGGCCTGGTCTCATTGTGGTCTCTAAGCCTTCAGGAGCGTATTGCAGCTGCCTCGAGCGCCGTCGCAGGCTTCGCAGTGGCATCCCTGACTCGCACCGCCGCAATTCGCCATGTGCGAAAAAGCTCTTTTGCGGAGCGACCGCGCGCATGCAGATGCAGCCAGTGTGAGTCAAACTATTGCCACAGTTTGTTTCTTGGCTTGCTCGGAGCAACCATGGTGGGGGGGGGTTCGGATTGGGTCTAGAGAGCTGACAGTTGGGCGCAATCTCGGCTTCAACCGTAGTTCGCTGACAGCGTTCAATTTCGAAAAAGCAAAGCTTTACAGTAGCGCCGGAGTTTCTGTCGGGTCGGTTTGCCACTTTCCGCAAACCAGCATAGTGGTTTATTTTCGAAGCTTTTGCCCGTAGAGCCGATTCTGACACACCAAATGCCCCGTAACTGTGTGATCTGGCACGTAGTGACTGTAGTGGGTGGTGCAACAACTATGACAAGCTTGGCTGGAAAAATCCACAGGGCACCTCTCAATAAACCTCCCTGTCTACTTGCCGATACCGATAGCGGACCCGGAGGGGCAAGCGTCCAGAAGGATAATGTGCCCAGTCACACCGTCACACCCTGCCCTTGCTGGCCAGAGAGGCCGTGGGTGTGCCCCACATGCGACTGACGTGGCTCCACACGTGGCCAGCATGAGCTGCCATGGCACGCGGAGGCCGAAGATGCTGGCTATTCGGCTTCCTGATTGCACTTGCAAACCAATGAAACTCTTAGGAACTCCCACCCACAAGCCATCAAGATGATGCCTACGCCTCCACCCTGGCTGTTCAAAAGGCTGCTAGGCACGTCGACAAAGTTTAGTGGGGGGGGGGGGCCAAACAAAAGCAGATCTGCCCTCTTATCGACTCAGGCTTCTTGGGCCTGCCACAGTGCCACGGTGAGGTGGCATGGAATTCTCGCGTACCGGCAAACGAGGCATCCGGTCCGTGGCGCTCCATCTTCAAGGAGGGTTCTTCGTTCAGACACCCCCCCGCGCTCTCTCCCTGATGTCGGCCTTTGGAGATTTCACTTCAAAAATGGGCACAACTCAATACGCAGCACAAAGCCCGGATTTCCTCTCGCGCCCTATTTTTCAAGAACGAGCACTTTCCTACCTACTATTGCTCTTGCTGCAGCTACTGCTGCCTCTGTGCTGATCATACTTGCATGCCACGAATAATTACCACAGCTGTTCGAGCACATCCCTCCAGGAGCGCGATCCAGGCGCAGAAGGCTCGTCCCGGGTAGGGTTAGTGGGTCCTGGCGCCGACCTCAGTCCACGCTTCAAAAGGGCTCTCGGGCTGCTCCGAGAGCCGAGAGAACCAAAACTCTGCAAATCCTGATCGGCTGAGCGCAACAAACTCTAGGATACTCATAGGCTTGTGCTTCTTCGACTTCGAGTTCACATACAGTGGAGCATCTCTCACTTTTGCAGCACACTAGACGGCACGAAGGTACGAAGGTATAGCATTGACTCGGCAGGCCGGCTCGCTTCAAACCAATCAAGTAGAGCAGCTGAGCGCAAATGCCCTCGCAAGACCCGTTATGTTCAGGGGTTCGTCTACCATTACAAGTTCTGAGCGTCGGAACGGAGAGTCAGCAGGTCGGATAAGATCTCCAACCGATCCCGGCGTGCGCTCATTGCGCGAACGCCTCCAGACTGAAAACTGCATGGCAGAGTTGCCCGTCTTCTCGCCGTCCAGCGCTGCTCCCCGGCATGAGTTCAGAAGACTGAGGCAGGTTTCAGAGTTGGAGCGGGATGAGAGTGCGGGCCCCGTGAACTGGATTTGAGGACTTCAATGCGTCCTACGTGTCGGAGATCTTTCGGATCAATGGCTTCGTGGTCCTTGAAGACGCGCTGTCAGACCTGCAGCTCCAGGAGTTGCACGAGGCAAGAAGGCGGTGTTTCTTGCGTCTGCATCGGGGGAAGGGCACAGCGCCCCCTCACGGAAGGCTACACAAGGCTACAAGCTTCAAATGTCTTGGTGCGTCTTAATGTTGTGGGCTTGGCGGGGCCGGCTAATGTGGGTATGATGCGTATGTACAACCACACAGCTTCCATATTCACATCCCGGCGAGCACTGACCACTCCATCACGAAACCGCACAAAAAAAAACATGCAGGCCTGCGACGACATCATGGACCAAGTCTTCCAAGCCGACCCCGAAGGAAGCTTCGGTGGTGGAGCTGGGAAGCTGCCACATCGCTCCTTGGCTTTCCAATGCCCAAGGCACTCACCCCCGTGAAGCCTAGAAGCCTGAAACGCGAACGAAGCCTGAACCCCCGCAACCTCGGCCATTCCCTTACAGTTTCAACTTGGGGTTGTTGGGCCTTTGCTGAGTAAAGGGCCCATTCTAAGAAGGGGCCTGTGTCAGGAGACCTTCCGAACAGTGCCTCCCGGATGCAGGCTACAGTTTGGGAGATTCCTCCAGGACCAAGTCGAACTTCCATCTCGAGGCTGCGGCCTGTGGGCTGTCAGGACTTTTGGTTGGTTCTTCAGCGTTTGGAGGCTGTTTAAGGTGCAGCATAAGGGATTCAAAGAAGCGTGTCTGACGTGGTGCCATGGTCTCGCATTCGTTGCCTTTTTGGGCACCATTAGGGCACAAAATGTTCGGGATTCAAGGCCGAACACGACACTGCTGACACGAAAGAAGCCCGAAAGGGCTGTCGAGGAGCCCGCCCCACAGTTCAGCCTGTTCAGGCGTTCGCCTCGCTCGTGGACCTTGAGACTACAACTCCACTGTTGATGGCCATTTTCGGATCACGCGAGTACCTCGCTGCTGGCTGCGGGGGCGATGTTGCTCTGGCTGGTGCCATTGAAACTCAGACTTTGCAATACTTTGCACGTAGAGCAACGAGTCTTTGCACAGTTGGGCAATCACAGGGCTCTTCCCTGGACTGCGCAATCAGATCCGCCCAGGAGTACCAAGCCTTGCACCCTGATGCGATTTGGGGTGTGCTGGAGAAGCCTGTTGCAGACTACGATGTGCCGCCAGCAGTGACTGCACGGGCCTCGTACTCTGAATGTTCCAGCCAGCACAGTTTAAGATGGCAAGAGAGGTCATGTTGGGCTGCAGGCATCGGGGCGTAGGATATGGGACGGTCGGGCCGAGATTAACTTCGTGCTGGAGAACCTGACCGCAATCAATGGTCCAATGCGTGTGGTGCCTGGTTCGCATCGCTGGCGACATCGCCCTCCAACCCTACACGAGGCCGGTCAGAAGCACACTCTCTCACAACATGATTCTCACTCATGGTTCCTGTGTGCAGCTCGAAAAAATCGAAGCACGACACGGTGGCAGGAGCCAGACTGGATGATGTTCAACACACTTTGCCCAATCCGAGCAGGACTTCGTTGTTGAAGCTTTCTCTTGCAGCGCTGTTTTTTTAAAGAGTTTTTGGGGATGCTTGAGGGGTGAGAGCGCTTCTCGGCGTCTGCTTCCGAGGAGCTGCCATCTTCCGGGACAACCGACTCTGGCATGGCGGCACCCCAAACCTTTCGAGTAAAATGCGGGCCTTGCCCAACATGGAGTACTTCCCTCCTGGAGCCATGCCCTCCCTTGGCTGGTTGGACCGACATACCATGCCCTGGCACATTTGGCAACGGCTTTCTCCCCTCGGGCAGTATCTCTCACGCTACACCGTGGCCCCACCGGACGAGTCCATCCCAGGAATCAATGAGTACACACCAGGAGCGATTCTGGAGATCATGCCTTTTCTCCGCTAGTAGTGGCTTCGTGGTGATGTCGGCACAACACAGAAGGTGGCAAGCCATCCACACACAGCAGCGGATGCAGCTCGACGAGGACGTAGGCAAACCTCATGCACGAGGCGCCCCAGCCTTGCAAGAACCTGCCGGGGAGGTCAAGGAAGCAACCTGGAAACGGACCTACTCGAAGGTGCTGACGCAAAAAGAAGGGGAGCCAGTGGCAAAAATTGTGCAGCTGGCACAGTGTAACAGCGTAACAGGGTAACAGTGTAGCGCTTTCATGCCGCTATGCACCCTGCTCTGCGCAGCTCGAGGCTCAGGTATGGCACATGCTTCGGTATGGCAACCCAGAACACATGCAGATCGTCTGGAACCAGAAGAAGCTAACACACGAAAGTCCGACCCCTAACTCCAGATTCTAGGTCGCGCCATTGCATTGCATAGCGCGACCCGGCATAGACGAGCTAGACACAGACCATGACCTCATAGAAAAGCATAGGCCAGCGTGTCTGGATCTCAGAGGATGCTCCCTTTGAGTTTGTTTCCTTGCAGCCTCCCTGCAGACGAGAGCCCAGGTGGGCGGCACACAATGTCCAAGGCAAGCTTTTGACGGCAGATTTTCGGCAGTGGGCATACATGTGCACCATCATCGCCAGCTCTGCCGCGAGGGTGCCTTTCCTGGCGGCTATTCTGAGGGGCACCGCCTATGTGTGCCGATGCCCTGTGTGCCTGGAGTTGTGCGATGTTAGCTGCGAGTAGCAAACCAAGCATGTATGTAAGCTGGCATGTTCGGAGTGTGTACTAGGTCGGCAAGCCATGGGAGGCCTGAAGAGACAGTTTATACCCAGTTACAAGATGTCACGAGGAAACTCCCAAAAGCTGTTGCCAGGGGCTTGAAGAAGACAACCTTGCAGGGGGCATTCGGAGATTTCGGCCTTGATCTCAGCAGCGGACGAGGTCACACCAGACTTCCAACGGCGGCCTGTTGCCCGTTCGCAAAAACATTCCAGTATGTATCGAAAGCGAAGAGGGCTCGGCTTAAGGTCGCAGACACAAACGCTGCTGTACCAAGATCTGGAAAACCGAGGGCATATCCTGCAGATTGAGACTCCAAAGTCCAACTTGGCTTTCATTGCTCGGAGCTCAGACGTCTCTTACTCTTTTGCTCGGAGGACTTCCATCATACCGAGCAACTTACCTTGGCGGATACGCAGCGCGATACGAGGCATTTGCAGAGAAGGCCGATGCACAAGACGCTATGGAGCCAGAGACCTCAGCTTGTATCCAGGCCCAGACACTGGCCCAAGCTCCTTTATGGCAGCATTCAATCTTCAAACTTCGAGATCACGCCCGCGTCATGCCAGCGAACATCTCAAACTAGTCTTTATGTGGCTGGTGGATACGAGTGGTAGGCGTACGTCTACATGGTAGATCAGAGATCAATTTTTGAAGAGAACGAAGGCTGAACATCTCAGAGAACCAGACAGGAGGTGCGTCGCCCATCTTGATGAAGCCGCCAATCCCAATCTTGTTGCCAGAAGCGCAAGCATCTGCAGCAAAAGCGTCTGGGAGCCAGCGAGGTGGCATTGCCAGGGGGCGCGAAAAGAAAGGCATCTGTGCCCATTGAAGTAACGCAAGAAGACCTTTGATTGATGCGAAAGTCGACGCTTGGATGACGCAGGATTGGTTACGCGAAGCCAGATACGCTTTGCTGAAATCCCCACACGTCGTAGATCTGCTTTGCTGCGCAGGGCCTGATGCTTCCACTCTACAGATGTCCACTGCAGGGTTCTGTCGTGTGTGTTGCTTTCCCCAAGACGGCACCCCAAGAGCTTCGGGAGACTTTGCGGGACGAGACACTGCAGGGATTCTTTGGGGGTGGGCTCTCCAAGCAAGGATACTCGGCGCGACTCTGTGCTGCATTCTCTGGCAGCACTCTGCCCTTTTCGGACAGTTAAATCAGGATACTTCGCCGCAGCATTCTGTCGCGGTTGCCTCCAGCAGGATACTCCAGACATACTCTGCCGAATCGGACACTGCAGGGATTCTCTGGGACTGGGGGCCGGCGGGGCTCGGCAGGCTTCTCTGTGAGTGGTCACGCTAGGGATCCCCAATGCCTTCTGTGTCAAGGCTCGGTCTGCAGGGTTTGGGGGTTTGGCACTCCGGATTCTTGGCGAGACCAACGCACCAGGCATCCTCGGGTCCTCGGGACTCTTTGCAGGGATACTTGGCGGGGTGATGGGTACGGGCGAGGAGAATGGTTGACTTCAAACAACCCCACACCGAGGGTGCGGAATAAGCGAAGCATGAACCGACCCATGGCTGCGACATGTCTGTGCTCAGTGCCTCAGGGCCATGGATGGTAAGAGCCTGGAAGGGCAAACTCTGACAGTGAGCAAAGCTGGGCCAGGGCCTCGGAAGGTAAATGGGCCAGGGTTTTGCTGAGGTAGCTCTTTCTCCGGGTCTCAGGGAAGACTCAGGGAAGAGTGTGCATGTGCGTGCTTTGTGAGGCCAAAACCAACCTATCGACCCACGACGGATCCAAACGAGAACTTTAAGAAGGCCATTCTTGTTTTTGATCCATGGAGCCAGAGCATTGTCGAGGCAGCCGCTGTGTTCTCTAGCTCAGGTCCTTATGACGACACAGACGGAGCGTGAAAATGTACGCTACCGCAAAGACGTAGAGAAGGCAGCTCTGACATGGCGATAGTGTGCAACCAATGTCACATGAAAGCTGCTGCAGCACAGCCAGGCTGTCATGCAAAAGCTCACCTAACGCACCCTCCTTGACTGCAATGCATAGCCTTGCCTTTGTGTCGTGCAGGCGGCTGAGAAGCTGCGACCGAGAAGCAGGACGCATGATGGAATACGATCCTTCTGCCCGGGCAAGACATTGTCACGTAGCGTCACGTTTAATAGCGCAGGAGCCGTAGTGCCAGAAAGCGCCGAGCTCTCAGCATCCTGCAATATGTGCAACTTTGTGCAGCGTATGAGTTGTGACCTCTGTCATGACAAGTTTGGTAGGCCCACGTCACAGCCAATCTCGCAGCCCAGCAAGAAGAAGAAAGAAAAGCCGTCACTTGGCCTGGCATTCTGTAAATTCTGTAGCTTCGAACAGGAGCTGTCAAAGAGCAGGCTGAGCAACTTCGCATAACTTCACCACGCGTCTCAAACTGCAGCAGACGTAAACTCGAAAGATCTCGAAAGCTCAAGCATTGCAGATGCTGCTCCGGTAGAAGCCCAGGAGAGAGAAGCCTACGCCCATCAAGGCGAAAGGCGCTTAGTGCCAGTGTCAGCCTCGGTTCTTGTTTGAGATTTGAGGCTTTTCATTGGCATCTTTCGGCTTTGCGAGGCCGCAGTCGCAGCGCGTCTCCTCGCCAGACGGCCTAGACTGTGTCTCTTGAGTGGTTCTTCGGGGCTCGTGAAAATTCTGCCTTTGCATGGAGAGGCGCAGGGTCCCACTCGAAGCCTAAGATCGCGGAATCGCCTTTGAGCAGCCTCACCAACGCACAATGGATCTTAGGTGGAAGAGCACAAACGCTGAACTCTGCTAATGTTTCTGGACGTTGCTCGACATCAGGGCCACGCTATGGCGCCATACATGTTGCACTGGAGCCTGCCAAAATGAAGGTTTCTTGCTTCGCAGGTCGAGGAAGGGGCCCTGCACAAAAGAGGGGTCGAAGCAGCCAGGACCCCGAGAATGACCTTAGTCCTTGGCACTACCACTGGTCGCGCATATTCAAGGTCGAAGCAGAAGCTGAGAATGATATGGACGGACGACGCCTGCTACAAATCTGCCTTAGCTCTTGCCTGCGGTTCTGACGGTTCTGAATTTGTAGCACTTTTGTAGTACAAACGTGTATCTTTGCGGTTGTGCGCGCACATTCTTGGGTTCTCCCCCTTATCCCCCTTATCATGGGAACCGAATTCTGCATACTCGAAAAGCTCGTAAATAGCGTGCGAATTCTGCACACTCGGAAAGCTCGCAAATATCGTGGGGGCCGAATTGCGGGCGCTCGAAAGCTTCGTAAATATCATGGGGGGCGAATTCCGCCGGTCACTCGAAAACTTCGCAAATGTCGTGGGAGCCACACTCTTCAATCGTTTCTGCTGCACGCGCTGCTTTTGCGAGACCACGTTTGGTTCTGGGCTCGGGTTGTTGGCTCTTGCGCGCATTGAGCCATGGATAGCCATGGCCTTTGTTGGGCATGTGCGTGTCTTCCCCACGCATCCGCCCATCTGTTCGTCCACTCGTCTGCCCCGTTCGCCCATCGCTCCGTCTACCCGCCGAAGAACACGCACACGCACTTTGCATTCAAAACAGATATGTGGGGTTATCTGGGCCTTGATTTGAATTTATCTGTGTATTTTTCATATTAGTAGCTTCTGAAATATTTTTAACGCTACGCGACCCGCCTCGGCCCAGCGCATCCGCGTGAGCATGGTGATTCCGCAGCGCCCAAGTCGCTGGACCCCCAGCAATGAGGGTTGGGTTTAGGGTTTAGGGTTCCGGGTTTATGGTTTGGGGTTTAGGGTTGAGGGTTAGTTTAGGATCGAGGGCTTAGGGCTCAAGGTTCACGCTTTCGGGTTTAGGGTGTTTTGGGTTTAGGGTTCAAGAGACGGTTCGGCTTGGATTGATCGTGGGGGGGGGGGG